TGACAAGATATTGATGTTGATTTTAAAATTTAACATTGCAAAGCATCTTCATGATAATTTTGCTGTCCAGGTACATATAGTTCACCTATAACATGCTTTTGTTAATACTTTTTGTAAAACATGTACAAGAAGAAACGTCCAACCTCTTTTTTTTTATTGTATGGAAGTAGTTTGCTCTACTTACGTGTTCATTAATTATATATCATCAAAAGAGCATCTTTATCTATAAGTTTCCTATAATAATGAACTCATATCTAGTTCCTGTATCTGTCCCATATTCTGCTTATATCACAAAGAACCCCAAATTTCCTGATGTTTTGGCCAAAGAAGACATTCTTTTTAGGATGAAAGACTGAGGAAGTTTAGTACAGTTGTTACCTGAGTTTTATAGAAAAAAGTATAATACCGTATGAATATAGTTAAATGATACAATGTCTTGATTGGATACTGGTTATAATATTTCTTTTTATTTAAAAGTTAATTAGTTTTAGTTTTCAAAATAATGATATTTCATTGTAATGAACAAGATATAAGCAGCTTGGGGCTGTCAATGGACTTCTGATTCCTGAGCTATCACATTTCTATCCCAATTTAAATCTACCATACTGCTGCTCAATAGACGTCTTCGTGCCATATTCAGTCCACTGTTAGCCCATCAACACTATCATTCCAGGAAAGATTTGTCAGCTCCTGCTCTCTTGTTCCACTTTGGCTTCCTGTGACTTCTACACCACAGCGCCCCTCCCTGGCCACCATTCCGTTATATGACTTGTCTTCCCATTAGAATGTAAGCTCCTTTACGGCAAGGGTGGTCTCTCTTCTTATATCTGCATTCCTAGTGAGTTAGTCTGATTCATGGTCATCATGTTAGTAAATGCTTTTCATTCATTTACCCATCATTGTAGCAAGTTGGAGGGAAAATGTCCTTAATGAACTCTAGTATAGTAGAAGCGGTCATATATGCCTTTCCTTTTTTCAGCTCTGGATTTTTTGGTAAGCTGTATTTTATTTTGCTGGCTTATTTGAGGTTTAAGAGAGGGCTTTTTTGGAATGAATGAGGGAAATTTATATTTCTGTTCCAAGATTCACTGTTTGACCTTTGGGAAAGCACTTCCTTCACTGTAGGACTCAGTTTCTTCATCTGGACAAAGTAATCTCCCAGATGCCACGCAGCTTTGGAATCCCAGCTCTCTGAGAGGGAGATTCATCAGGGTAGGCAAGGCTCTTTCAAATCATCCCCTAGAGTGAGAAGATTGGGTCATCTACTGGAAGTGGTTAGAGTCTGTGGGATGTGTCAGGTGTGGCAGTGGTTTTTTGCTTAGCACCTCTCCATCCCCTCCATTATTCGATTTGTCCTTAACCATATAGTTCTCATGTGCAGTGGATTCATTATGGGATTCCACTTAGCAGATCATTAATCTGCTGAAAGAACACATTCACTTCATAAAGTAGATATGCTTTATGTGTTGCTTGTGAAAATGTTTTCTTTCCTTTCCAAAAGTGCCATCAATTTCTGATTCAAACAAGGTATGAGAATGAGAAGAATCAGCTTGGGGATTTCACAGCCACTAGGGGGCCCACGGGGATTGAGTTTGATAGCTTTATGTAAAGCTGACCTTATAAAAAGTCAGCAGGGACATTGGCTCAGTGTGCAGCCCTTCTCATTTGTGCAGTGGAGGAAACTGAGTCTTAGAGAGGAGAAGGAACTTCCCTAAGTCCTA